GTTCCTGCAGGTTTGCATACCTTCCCCCCTCCCCACCTCGTCACACCTCAGTTTCCCCACAATAGGATTCCTCAGTTTCCTTATGAACTGTTCTGGAGAGTATGACTGAGAAATCTGCTTTCGCTATAGTTTGAGAAGATCCTCTTGCCTCACTACGCATTACTATTTCTAAAAGCACCCAGTGCCAAATGAAGTTCTTTTTCTTCTGAAAACTGTCACCTTTCTCTGTGTTAAAATTGTATTCTGCCTTCTCCCCTTAACTTTGGAGCTGTTTCCATGGCACTATGGTTAAATTTATTGTTTTTTTTTTTTTCAATAGGATTGACCACATAGGAGACATTATTTTCCAAGTTTCTCTTAGGGAACAGGCTATCAAAGAAAGGTATAAATGGATAAAGATGCCTTAGGTTTAGAATACTACATGCAAGTTTAAAAGTATAATTCTGTATTAAATGTCTTCTTTTGTGAGTAATTTTTCAAAGCCTTCTGAAATACCTGTAATCTTATAATCCATTTTAAATATTACTGGAGTCTTCCATGAAGATGGAACCACATGTAAGTAAACTTAGTCATATGTGAAAATTTCACTTTTTCAAATGATTGCATTACATTAAAAACAAGACAAAACAAGAGCAAACTTGCAATGCTAAAAACCTCTTTCGGTTCTGGTTTGAGTTTCAGGGCTCAAATACACTATAGAATCCAGTTATAAGCTATTGATTTTCTTTGGAAGGTTCCCCCTTTAAGATTAATTTGCCACAAAGCAACTGATAGCCCTTTGTTTTCCTCAAGCAATAGAAGTTCTATTTTTCAGCAAAAAGAAGAGAATTAAGATTAATTACTTTCATTTTAGCCGATGAAAATCCAGAATGGGCCCTTGCTCCATCCCTAAAGATGTGCATTGGGCCAGAAGCAGATACAGCACTTTTCAGACACCTGAGGTTGGCAGTATTAGGAACATGAGCACGAGCTGACTACAGTAGGTTAAGGCTAATCTACTGGCCATACGTGGGCCAAAATAACATAGGCCGCTATCATTGCTCCTGCTCTGGCTGCTGTGGGGAGCACATCTAATTCGCTTCCCCAGTATGTGTGTATATGTGTTTATAATAATGTCCTACTCTCAGCCTGTACTTCACTGAAGACCCCCCCCTGTGCTCATAATACACGTACTGTTTGTAGGGCAAGCACTGGTACTCCTATGCCTTGGTTTTTGTTCTTTTCTTTGATCCTTCACCCAGGTGAAACGTGTCCCTTTGCGCAGAGCTAGTGGCAGGATGTTTTGTGCGCGGCATTTGGCCAAGGCTGTTTGGCTAAGCAAAAGGTCATAGTTTGCTGTGTTTATGTTCCTGGTTGTCAAAGATGCCAGAGACTCTTTTCAGCAATCTTTTAGCAATTTTTTACGTTAGACAAAAGCCTTTGTGCACTGCAGAGCTCTAATCTAGTGCACCTGCATAACCCTTTTAGAAATGCTAGATCACTGCAAGATGTTCTGCTGCAGTCAGATGTGGAGAGCTGCGAAGCTGATGGGGTGTAAAATACCGCAGTACTTTACACAGCACTTTTCCCTTACGGCTGTCTAACCCTAACCCTTCTTCTATCACCTGGAAGCATTATAATTGAGTACATGACTATTTTGATTTGTAAATGACAAGGGACCTAAGCCAGGAAGCGAATGGCAGCAGGGAACAGCTAATCTGTATCTAGAATGTTTTTTTTAGGTTGTGCTACCTGATAAACTGTTGGGATACCTGATTGAAAGTGAACACAAAGCAGATTTCCAGCACAGCAGGGAGGGAAAGCAAATGAAATTGCTCAGGAAGACAAGTTAAATGTTTGTTTTGATTCAGAGTCCTTGCAGAGAGTGACTAAGATCTCATTAAGGAAAAAATTATGCATTTTTGTTTTCACGAAGTTTAATAAGAACACTGAAAGAAATATAATTTCTATCTGGCAGGAGTCCAGTGAACAAACAATTCTAACTAATTGAAACCCATTAATAACAACATTTGTTAGTCCTATATTCATATACAGAT